GAATATATTTTATTTGAAGTATTTCTTTGTAGATGCAGTTATCAATGAAAATGCCTTGCTTTTCTGTTGCAACATTACATGAAATTTTCACTAAACAAAAACAAATAATTTTTTTGAAGTTTGTTTTTTGATTGTTTTATATTTGAAACTTACTCCTATTTTTGTAAATTTTATCGGTTAAATCTGAAACATATCACTTTTGTGGAAATTTAAGTTGTTTTAATTATTGCTCAGCTTTAAAAATACTGCCTAGTTATATAATATTACCCAGTTATGATTGGTGATTATCGGTGTGGTAGTTTCCAAGATACAAGTTTTGGAAATGTACATTGCTACATTATAATAAGATTATATTCTAATTATTTCTATAATGTGAAATAAGCAGCTGATACTGAAACTCTTCACAAGTTTATTGGTAAAATCATTACTTACTTGCCTGATGACAATAAACTTATATGAAGATGGCTTAAAATTTGATTAGGTAATGAAGAAAACTTTATGACATGTTTAACAGGATAAAAAACTTACAGCACTTCAACAAGGTTTTGTCATCAAGGGTACTTCAAACTTTACTCAACAGTATTCAAAATGACCTTGACAGTTAGCACATGAAATTCCCATGACCTAATTTAAGAACCAAAGTTTTGAATTTAGTACTATTACCATTATTATTAATATTAGACTATTTTAATACCACTACCAATTACAATAGTGTGTCAGTAATATGCAGAGGGCATTGAAAGAGCAAGGCTCATTGACAAAAAATTCACTTTTCAAGCATCGTAAGGCATGCATTTTTTATTTCTGGGACTGGATAGGTGTTAGAGGAGGCTGTGGGTTGCCTCTGGTACACACAGGGTAAAAACCATACAAACACACAGATCCTTTGATATTCCTATTCAACTGATCTTATAAACATTTTTATGATTTAAAGCTAAAGAATGAATTGCTGCATATTAACACTTAATACTCATAGCATATCAAAATTATTATTATTAGTTTTTACTGTAAAGACCTGCAAGCACCCAATGCACAGTGTGTGCAATTCATTTTATGTTTAACGCCGAATATTGTTTTTTTTTTTGTCTAATAACTCGCATCTTTTCCTAGTGATTAACAATTTTAATGACAGATTAATTTAAAACAGGAACTGTTGAAGACAGAGGGACTGAACCTATCCAATCACCAGCCTGTGCGAGTCACAAGACACAGTACCACTACCAGTGAATATACTACGACTGGTATTGTGTTACTGGTAGTACCACTGTACCAGTCGTAGTAGACTGAATACAAACAATTAAATTTCAAGTTAAAAACCTACTTAGATTTTCCAACGGCACTATCCCCTAAACATATGACTTTCACTGTGTTATTTCCATATGAAGATGATATGGAATCAGGTTGATGGGAATCCAAAATATCCTTTCCTGAAGCCATTTTTCACGGTCTTACTCTTCACCTTTCATTTCTTCAGTACGCTGAGTAACAATTTGAAACACCCAACCCACGTCCGAACAGTAACAAATTGGAATTTATATCATGGTAAAAATTCCTCTACTACAGTCTACATAATCAAAATCAAAGGGTAAATTTGGTGACACAATATAAAAAGAACTTATTTTACTATTTTAAATCTTAAAATAGTAGTTTAAATTATAAATACACCTGTTAAAAGAAAACAAATTAGAATATCAAATTATTGTCCACACAACCTGGATACATGAAAGTAAAATAATACCAGCGCTACCTGTAATTTATATAATACGTGATTATTTTTTTTTAATTTTAATTTTCTTAAACTTTTTTGATTCATTTATTTGTTTTGATTTTTACACGTTTTTTTTCGGTGATTTGCAGGTTGTAAGAGATATATAGTTTGTCACTGTGTTTTGAAGAAAATAGTTTACTTTCTGACTGTGCTTATAATGAGATGTTTATTTTTCAAAAGGTTTTTTATTGCTTTATGAATGCTCGTTATTTTGAGTGATGAGTCAAAATTTCAAGAGTGAATTTAATAGCTGGTTACTCAATTTTCGCAAACTTTTTGTTAGTTTTTATTGTTAAGCAAAAAGCTACCCACTGGACTATTTGCGCTGTGATTACCGCGGGATTGAACATCTGATTTGAGCGTTATAAGCCTGAAAGTTCACCCCTAAGCCACTGAGGGAGGGGGCGTTTTTGCTAACTAAAGGTGAGAATTAAAAAACAACAACCTGTATTGCGATATATAAATTACCATATTTTTAACTTTGTGTAGAAACAGTCTCGCGAACTTTTAAAGCCTTTCCTACAGTTAAAGTGGTCATAGCTGACTTATATAATTAAGTATTAAATTAAGCTTTTTGAATTTATTATAGTTTATTATTTATTTATGCATTTCTCTTTCTCACAGAAACATGAATTTCAGTGAAGAAGAGATAATGTAGATGCCCAATATTCTCAAAATGTGGGGCGCGCCACGTGGAGGTGTGACCGTATTTTGAGGGGGGTATGAGAAGTGTCAGCAAAACATTTCATCTTTCGTTTTTTTAAGCTAAGTTTATTGTTGTCATCATTGACTGTATATAAATATATATATATATCACGGTTTAAATGTGTTAAAGAGAAGAAAAGGAGAGCGTGACCTAAAATGATTGAGAAGCACTGACCTAATATATTTTTTGATTCACTACTCCCGCTGCAGCAGTTTAGTTTCGTTGAATTCACAGCTCATCAGTGTTGCTTAGAAAAGCGAAGCAAATAAACAAAGTAGGCCTCATATTCATATGATGGTGGAATGCAAGTAATTTATTTGGTTTTGATATGAAGTCGTCGATTCAATGCACGACAAAACGTGAATTTCAATGAAGTTATGAACTTTTTATTTCTAAATATCAATACTCCCCGAGAAAAAAACAAACTGTTTTACAATGTTTACTATTCAGAGCTTATTAGATGCATTAGAATTTGTTCAACGTTACAAGATTTCTTAGACAGATCTAATATAGTCACTAATTTTTCACAAACGAGGATTCTTCTCAAGCATTTTGTTATACAGATTCGTTCATTTTGAAGAATATTCTATAATATTTTTACTGCCAATTATGGGCTTCATAGTTTACTGAATATCATAACCTCTTCAAAACTATCGCATCTAGACATTAATTTTTAACTATTTTTTCAAGGTAAAAAAAAAATCATTATAATATTGCGACCACCATTAGTTTTATCTCCTGTTACTTATAAGTTCTTACTATAGTGCATAGTATAATATTATACCATTAGCTAAGGTATATTAATTCCTATAAGCACTTTGTCGTATTCACCATTTGGTGTATCCTTTTCTAAATCTTATTATCTCATTACTACAATGAACTTTCTCGAATCTTATCGTGTATAATATGGAGGCGCGTGCGTACACAATATTTCTTACTTATATTTGTCTAGTTCAGTGAACTCTTAAAGTTCAAAGGGATATTTTCGTTTAGCTTTTAACATGTTTACGGCTGTAACAGACATATGTATAGTTTTGACAATGGCCAGTTGTTAAAAGAAAAAAATGGCTAATCTCCTTTCGCCCTAGTTGCCTGCTGACTGTTGTTATGGATCATTTCACGTTAGTATTTCTTGCAATTTACCACTTAGAAGTGGAGAATACATTTTTTACAACTTGCAGAGTATATGCCTGGAAGATGTATCCTCACTCAGTTATTTTATTTTCAGCACGTACTCTGTAAGTGAAGACGCTGTTCTGATAATGGGTAGCTCTCCCAGTCTTAACAGGTTTTAGGGGCAGCGAGTATATTTATTTTCTAACAACAATAGTAAGTTAGTTATATCTTATACTTTCTTTCAGGTCACTTTCATTCTACATGTCCATAAATAATATTTCACATTGTTAGCTTAATTTATGGATTTATGACCAACTTAAATCTATTATGCTGACTTAGCCAAATATAGTTTTTGTACTGTGTAGTAGTTCTTACTTGGAGTTTGGTCAAAACAAGTAAAAATTTTACCACAGTGTGTACAAAACTGTTGATTAGAATATTCAACATAACTACTTTTATTTTTTATCATTTTAACTTAATTTGCGATTATTATAATGATTATTCTACACTGTTAACTTAATAGATTGATTTAGACTAACTAAAGCCTCTTGGTCTGGTCAAACCTCGTGATGTATTATTGGGCTTACAGCCGAAAATATCGTTAACAACGAGGGTACTCAATTTATGAAACTATGCATTCTAATCGTTATAATTACCATAATATGAACATTATATTTAATTAGCTATGCTCATTACTAGGTGTATCTTCCCAGCTCTGATATATATGGATAGTTTGCTTTAAGTAGAAGTTAATATCAACTGGTAGAAGAATAGCTTCTCAATTTCATGATTGCTTATAAATATAGAAGTATTAAATTTTGAACTATGTGTTTCTCCTGAATGAGCTCAATCAACTTGATTGATAATCAAAACGTGGTTTATCCCAGTCTGTCGTTGGTACAATGAGTAAAATGTGGTTAGGGTTTTGTGAGGTTTGAAATTGTATTGTATTTGCCATTGGAAACATTTATTTCAAACTTTACACAACCATAGTATTGCTCTATAGGTACACCTGCCCAAGTATGAGTAAATATTCTGTAATGCTAAGCTTTGATCGTCAAATATCTTAGATGATATCAAACCTATAATGCTCTTCTGCACTGTTAAACATCAATCCAATGGCTGACCATGTACTTTCTCAAAGAGTAAGTCACAACATTGAGAGATGAAAATAAGTCAGCCTAGAGAACCAAAAGCAAATATACAGAAGAGCGTTTTATACTCATAACAACACCGAGTTGTAACCCACTCTTTCCTCATATCAGAGTCTGTTGAGTTATAATTGAATATCTTCATTGTTCTGAGATCATCCAGAGAAGTTAACTAGCATAGAAGATTCATCTTCATATTTGTAAACAGAGTTAACAAAGAAGGAAAAAACACAGCCAGCTGTCATTTCAAGTGAAGGGAGTTGTGTGAGGATGCAGCCGGCTACCACTCCTTGCAGAATTTGACTTGGGAGTCTCAGTAAATATCTTGAATGAATTTTGGCAAGATACTTTGGCAAAAAGACGTGAATCAATTTCGATGTGTGGCACTTTTCTAGGTGGAATGGCAAACTTAATTTAAGGGTCTTTTTGACTGTCACGAAAAAGAATAAGAAACACAATCTGGTGCTTTGTTTAATAGAATGACCTAAATATCGAATAAACATATGTGATGGAAAGGAAAGCACGAGTTAACATCTTCTAGGCATGGGATAACCACCATACCTGCTCAATTACATATTTCACTATGACCACCTATGACAACAAAACCGTTTGAAAACGACAACAGTAACAATTGGTCGTGATTGATTGAGGTTAGGTGAAGGTGGGTGGCGTTCCTATCTTTAAAAGATTGCTTATAGAGGGTTCGAGCTACTTATTAAAAAAGACACAAACTACGAAGGAGTGCCATATAGGAACACGATTCATATAGACATAGACTAATGCAACTGCAGCTCATCTGTTCATCTAGCTTCCATTTTGAAGAAAATGGTGGAATGGACAAAGCCACCGTGTCAACGGACATCACAAAATACGAATGACTTAGGGAAGAGATAGACAGTGAATAAAAATACACTGTCAACTATTATTGCTAGTATAATATCTACTTTGATATTAGGCATAAATTTACTTCAAGACAGAGCCCAGAGAATAATAATGCCTAAAACTGCTGTAGACAGATGAGGTACTGAGAGTTTTGCTGCTGATATTAAGCATTTGTTAGACAAGAGCTAGTCTCCCCACAATGTTGAATTTAAGATGAAAAGTCTATTATCTCTCAGATACAATTAAATTACTGACTTAGACTACCACTGGGATTAAAAACAACAAAAACAAAGGATAAGACAAAGCTAAAATCTGTGATAGGAGGGCTTGGTTTGTTCTTATAAACTTTTGCTAAAGGCAGATAGTATTTCTGTTGTCATTGAGCAGCAAGAATGCTACTGAATTGGGTCACAAATCAGGCACTACAATTCAAGTCACTGTTGTAGCTCATGACAAATGAGCTTTATCAGACAGCTAAAAAACAATAAGAGATTGAAGAGGAAATTCCATTCATATTCATTGTACAATTGTATAAATACCAATTTTCGGAAATTCTAGGTGAGACTTTTATAACCAAACATACCAGAACAAAGTGTTTCCTTACCCTAAATAGTTCCATGGACTAATGTCGGTTCAGATCGCCTTTCTGACTGAACTCAGCATGTAAAATACTTCACAAGATAATAGAAGTTGTCTTGCCAATTGTATTCCATTTGTTGAAGAGTATGATCTGGAATTGCTTCCCAGATATTGATCTTGCCTATTATGTTTTATGTTTTCAGTTCCAATAGGTTGCAGCTTATCCATTATATAG